TGGCAGCAATTAGAGGAAAGATTTATGGAGTGTTTAACATTTATAAAATTTATGATACTTACTTTTTATATTACATTCTCTCTCAAAAATCAATTGTAAATTTTTTTTTAATCAAATGAGCAAAATTATTTTGAAATTGAATTCTGACTATTATTTTTTAAGTTTATGTATATAAACATATAAGAGTAATATAAAAAATATAAAAATTTTGATTAAAATACAAAAATTAAATAAAGATGAAAATAATAGTTGTTAATTTTAGATTTCAGGTAATATTTTCAGATGTTAGATCTGCAATTAAAAGAAGAGAACAAGCACTTCAAGTAAGTAAAATTATTATTTAACACAATAATTTAAAAACATTTTATTATAGATTAATAGGTGATAAGTTTTTAAATAACAATATAGACTCTCTTCTCACTTAATTAAAAACAATCAAACTTCAAACAGCCTTTTAGTATGCAGCCCTTTTTTATTACCCTTCAAATGCTTTTGGTCATTTAATTGATCTTCTTCAGGAAACAAAATCAACGATTCCAATTTCAACAGAACAAAACTTGGAATGTTTAAAAACGTTTTGGGATTATAACAATATAGGCATACATATATGAAGATACATATTTGGAACAAAAAGTTTTAGTACTAAACAAGGAAATGATATAAATTTAGGAATAATTAATTCTTTAGGATTATTTTCTGTTGAAAATTCAAATGCCTGCCTACTGCTGCCAATGACCATATATTCTCATTTTTTTGTAAGCTGGATGTTGGCCTCCCATCAGTAATGTGTTAATTCACACATTACTGATTCTATTTCTCAATGTTGAGGCAGTCAAATCAGTAATTATTTGAGGAAATAAAAAGTCTGATGCTTGTTGTGTCTGTCAATATAACCCAAAAGAACTGTGACAATTAATTTAATATTGTATCATAAAGGCTAATATATTTAGTAGTTTTTGTTTTCAAGGTTTTTTAATGCACAGAGATGTGTCAAAATTTTGTCATTTTGTTGCATGCAGCAGGCACTAGACAACATGCAAGAACTTAAATCCATCTTAATGCATCTGTGTAGGCTTACATTATAAATAAATTGCATTTAGTGTGTAGCACAGAAAAATTTCTGATCTTGAAGTTGCCTGCTTCAGCAAAAATTCAAAAATCCCCCCTTTAATCAAAAATCCTTTAATCAAAAATTTTGATTAAAATACAATTATAATTTCAAATGATTTTAATATACATGGTGTTTTGAAATTCCTATAAAAAACTTATAGGACAGATTACATAAGAAAAACTAAGATAAAAATGTTCAGTAATATTTTTCAAATAAAGCCTTTATTAAGAAGTTATAGATGTTTAAAGTTCAGTGATGTTACTTCCAGAATTTGATGCATGTGAAAAGATTTTTAAAATATGCCTATATTTTTTATTGTAATCTTTTATTTTCATTAAAATAAATACTTTTTAAATGAATACAGTAAATTATTACTCTCTTGCAGAAGTATAAAAAATAAAACATGCAGATGTAGAGGGTGTATGTCAAAGTAGAAGGAAGATCTTTCATGAATTATGGTTGTGCTACAAGAAATTTAACACACACCAGGTATTTTTGAGTGGGTGTATCAGAACTTTGAAGATACAATGTTTACATAGATGTTGGAGGTTGTCGTATTGAGCAACTCTTGTGGATCAGGATACAAAGCAAAACAAACTTTTAAGAAGTATAAGACATTTTTATAAAAAGAACATTGCTTCAAATACATAAAAATAAAGTACAAAATTTTAAGATAAATCTACTTGCATCTTTAACAAAAGAATAAAACATGAATTTGTCCTCATTTGTATGAAAACCAGAAGTGATGTCACTGAACTTTAAATGTCTAACTCCTTAATAAAGGTTTTATTCAAAAAATGTTAGTGAACATTTTTATCTTATAGAACAGATTCCTTAAGAAGAACTAAGTTTGTAACAGGAAGTTTGGAACACTCTTTATTTTAAAAAAATAAAAAAAAAATCACTTCTTATTGGTCATGTTTTTCAAGATTGGGATGGAAGATGATGGAGGTGGGGCCACTTTCACCATTACTTCAATGCATTTACAGACACATTTTAAATACTGCACACTAAGTTTATCAAGTTTCTGGATGGGGGATTGGAGGGATAGGTGCAACCCCTAAATATTAAAATGCATTGTCATTAGAATTAACTATGGACTTCAAAGTTTCAACTTTTTATCTTAACTAGAAGTGGATGAGATTTAAGTTGCAGAATTTGAGGACATGATACAAAGCAAGTTAAATAAATAATCAATAATAAAAATAATTTAACTTTTGTCTATTCGAACATTATTCTCAAAATTTGGTCAAATTCATCTGCATTCAAAAGAGATCAATTATTTATTAAATTACACTTTTATGATATGAAAACAAATGTTTGAATTCAAGTCATTATTTTGAAAAATATTTTTTATCTTCCTTGATTATTTTCATTCCTTTAATTAACTTTAATTAAGTGAACTGATCTTTAATAAACTGTAAAAAGAAATTCAGTACTTTCAATCAATTTTTATCATGATAGTAATTTTGACCTTAGTATTATTCAGACAAGTTTTAATGGACTCTATATGTATGTAAATAGTTTAGTCATTGTTTATTTTTGAATAATAAAGAACAATGAACAACGATTCTATTGAATCATGGAATGTTTAGATGCCATGAGAAATTTTATGGCTGCTTGGAAGGATGTTCTTATGACAATAATTAGACGTTGTTTTGCAAGGCAAAGGATTATTAAAAGCAATAATAACAATGCTCGTGCAAATGTGATTGACAATGAGAAAACCAAATTGACAAGTACAGTAATACCTCGACTTACGCGAACCCGGAGTTACGCGATTTTCAAATCTCGTCGATTCATCTTTTGTTTGAGCGCCACGCAACTCTTGATTACTCACTCCCCCCACACTATTGTTCAGCTTACATGTTGGGATGTGTCGCGCGGAATCGACACATAGCTACAGTTTATTTTGTGTTATTTATTTCTGCGTTTGTTATATCTACAGAGCCTTGAGAGACTCTATGTGGTGATTTCTTGTAACCGTGAACGAATCAAAAGACGAGATAAGATTAACGAGAACATTTATTAGCTTACATACATCCAACTTGGATTTTACACGAATTGCGAAATTATACTCCGACTTACGTGAATTCGACTTATGCGGTCATCGCTTGGTCCCACCTATCGCGTAAGTTCGGAGTATCACTGTACTGGCAGTACATGAATCAGCATATTGAATGTAGAGGATGATTTTACTGATTTTGTCAGTGCTGATGACAAATATTGCAGTCTATGCTTCATTAATTGATAAACTGCAAGAAATTGAGGAAGGTACAAGCATACCTTTGATGCAATACAGTGCCATGTAAAGAAGAACTGAAAATTAGCAATGAAGAGACATCACATGAACCCATAAGAAAAAGGGATGCTTATATTGCATTATCAATGAAAGCTGTAGTGCTGGAAGATTATTCTGTAGACTTGTGAAGATATTCAGGAAGGTACAGACAAAATTCAAGATTTTGTGCACAGCATGCTGTATAACACAAAATGAAGCAACCAACTATAAAGAATTACGTTAGAATGTTTGTGAAGTGCTGATGTTTATCACATATACATGTATTCAGAACAGTATAGCATCCATGTACTGTACTATATATAAACATTCGTTTTACATTATCATGTATGTGATTTTCAGTTTCACAATAAAATGCCATAAACTGTACACAATTTTGTAAACATTCTGTGAATATGGTGACTAGATATGGAAAATTTATGGCCATAGAAAAATTTAAGAAAATCAGGTATTAAACTTATTAACTCAAACTTGGGCATTTTTTACCCCATGAACTTTGACTTAACCAGATTTTACTGTATTAGAATTAATTTACATTTTGTAATAGTTACTAATTGATTATCAATTATTATATAACAGACTTATAATAACCTTACATATGACAAATTTTTCATTATAATTGAATTTAACAAATAAATTATTTTTCATTTAGCATTAAATAAATAGTTAGATTAAACAAAATCATAATTTAATATTGTTTATAACATTCTTACTTTATTGACAAGACTATGTCTTGTTTATAAAATTCCGGTGCCATATGGGTGCACACCTTAGAGGTATAAGGGGGGACATGTCAGGAGTTGCAATTTGGCACAGAGTATTAGGTGCCCAAATCATGTGCACATAAAAAAAATCAGATTTGTATGTAGTTGGGACCGAGAACTGAGTCAAAATAAAATACAAAATGGTGACATCTTTCTACAAACAGACAAGAGTAAAAGATTTATGCATGTGTATATCATTGGGAAGTTGGAAATGTGAATGTTGCAAAATCGAATTTTGGCAAACGAATCTTTGAAAAAAACCCATTTACCTCTGATAGCGACTTGATGACCTTCACTGGTTGACCTGAGATATCTCATTTCAGCATTGAAATGTTTTTGAAACTAGATGGAGCTATTCGTTATAATTTTATATTAAAAGTGACTTCCGAAATATAATTTTTTTTGTCTTTACATTTATTAATATATTTATTTTGTTTGTGCAAAATAAAAAAAGTAATTTCAGATAATACAATAGCCACGATTATTTTTTCAAGAATGGGAAATTTTCATTAGGTACCAACAAAAACTAAACCCAGGGCTACATGCAATGGACAGAAATTTTGACATTGGATAGGTTAATTTCACCAAAAATGCCTCGTGGACAACCTCATGGCCATGGCCAGTGAAGTTTGAACGATCACGCCGAGCCTTGAGCCTTTGAGACATAGTCTTGTCTCAAAACTTGGCCTTTTTGTTTTACTTGTTTGTTTTAGTTTTTAAAAATTATTTTAAAAATTTAGTTTAGTTTATTAGNTGCCTATCTCTCTATGTGATTTTGGTTGTGGCCCACAGGTAGGTAGATTATATATATATATATATAATCTACCTACTGCTTGCCTCATAGGCATCACTCACTTGTTCATAAATTTCATGAGGAGTCATTAATTCCTGGTGCTGCTGTTTCTATTATTTTTTGTGATAGCTTAGAATCATCAAGATATATATCTTATATATACGATATAAGATATATTTATAAATACATTTAAACCTGTCTATAACAGAACCCAAGGGACTGAACAACTCTTCCATAGTAGGCAAATTTTTGCTATTCACAGGTTATCTACTATAGATATCCCTTGATTAATGCGATTAATAAATTTCTTGATATTATGTATATATCAAAATCGCATTAAATCAAATATAGTGGTACCTCAGTACTCGACCGAACAATCATCACCCTAGAACAAATTTTCGGTTAATAAAAAATACCGTATTTACTCAAATATAAGATGATCTCGCATAAAGGACAAGGTGTAACTTTAAAGATCAAAATAAAGAAAATTAGATTTATTAATACAATTCTAATTTTATTTTGTTTAATCACAAATAAAATATCAAATGCACGTAAATGCACACATTGTTCTGCAAAAATTACTGACATTTTAAACTTCAAGGAAAAATCTTGTAAAATCAACAACATAATTTGTTCACATAAAGCTGGACAATTGGGAATTTTTTTTTTTTTGCCAATTCTTAACAGTCGAATTCACTCTTTGTCAGTTACACTTATGAGTTTCTTTGAATTCTGATTTCCAAATAATCATCTGTTTTCATATGGGAATGAATTAAAACTTATATTGGGCTCTTGTATAATTTTGGAATTCAGTTCAAAAGCTTTGCTTTTCCTATTGCTATTCATTTTTACTCCTTACAATACACAAGAATGATTCAAATGACCCAGATAAAATACAAAAATCATACAAAAATGAAATGAATCCTTCGCTCGCACGTATAGGACAACCTAAGTTTTTGAAGCAGTGAAAAATGGATAAAAACCTTGTCTTATATGCGAGTAAATACAGTATTTTTATTTTAACTTTAAATTTTTCATTCATCCATAAAAAAATGAATAACAAATTTAAAAATAAAATAAAACCTTACAGCTGCCTATCTTTGACAAAATTATACTCAATTCAGTTCATTTTTTTCATAAGTGGAAAAAAAAACTGCGTGCAGAACACAATCATCAGCATATTTTACAATCATTTCAAGTGGATGGTGTTTCAACAATATGTGTCTGTGACACACTAAGATTTGTTGCAAATTCATGAGTTATTATTCATCATTCTTTAACAATTTCTTCCCGCAATTTCTCTTCAACAGCTTTTGAGGATCTGTACATTTTGTATCCTTTAGTTCAGAATTTTCCAAACAAAACTTTCAAAATCACATTTGACACATTCAGAGTTTAGAAGCATCTTTTCCATACAGGTATACCTTGACTTATATCGTTTTGAGTTATGTCGTTCCCGATTATACGTCGTTTGTCAAAAAAGTATATGGAAAAATAAAAATCAAGTTTAAGTCATTTTACTCGACTTTACGTCTGTTCGCCACAAATATTGAAGTCGTAATATTACTAGAAAAACATTTAAAGCACATAAAATCATATTAAAATATATACATTTACAAGTATGTACTGTATTTACAGTACATGCATTTGTAAATTTAGATTACTTTTTACTGTACTATATAAAACACTAAAATTTATTTGTTTGTAAGCTTAAAATAGATTCTTATATATTATTAAAAATGCATTAATAAATAAAATACAGAACCAGGAATGGTAATTTTTGGTTTAGCCTAGTGACAAGTAGATTCGGAGACAAGTAAATTTGACTTATGTCACTTTTCGACTTACGTCGCCTCTCCTGGAACCAATTACCGACGTAAGGCGAGGTATACCTGCACTTGGAATGAGTATTTTTTACTATTTGTATAGTGTGATATACTTTACGAAACTTTAAAAGCATTCATAATATGTGTGATGTGTGTTTTATCTGCAGATATTTTAACTTGATTTTATTCAAACGAAATGTGATGTAAAAAGTTTAAAATAAACTTCAAAACAAAGAATACAATCTTATATCCAGAATAATGTGTTAAATTTCACATGTAATTACATCACATATTTATGTTAAGTAAAAACAGCTGTTTTTATAGATATATACGAAAACTTTCTGTTCAAATCTCAATAAAATTACTGTAATATGGTAGTCGTATTTTGCTATTCTGTATTGCATATATGTTTTTTTGACTTCTTTATGATTTTACATGCTAGGCTTGTAAACTTGTTAAATTTGTGTTAAATCAGATAAAGTTACTAATTTTTCTGTTAAAAGGCCAGATTTTCCTTTCCATTTCTACATTAGATTGGTTCTGCAATATACAGGTTAAAGGTCAAGGGGATGAGGCGATAGAGGGGGTCATTTGTCATATCTTGATTGGGTCAGATTTAATGATGATTTTACTAATTATTAGCATTTACAACTTTTAATAAAACTCATCTTTATCCTCAAAATTAAGCTTTATGGCATTTTTTAATAATTAATAATATGATATTTTATTTTAAAAACTTTTAAAATTGTGTGTAGTGCAAGCTGTTATAAAAAGTTTATTTCTAAGAAAGTTATGCAAATTGATGCTGGATTTTTTAATTTAATATGATTTTAACATTTTAATTAAAATCTATTTGAAGATTTGAATATTAAGAATAATTAAATATTTTTGAATTTTGGTTTATTACAGAACATTAATAAATAATTAAATTCTTTACTTTAATATATTTAAAATTCTCTATTTTCTATATTTTATATTGTATAACATTGAGTTTATTCTAATGTAGCCTGATAAAACTTGAGTTTATTATGTTAATAACTTTTTATATTGATTTAGCTTAGGATAACACACCGAACTCTAACAGATCCACTAAAAAGGTAAGTTGATTGTTTTTACTATCTTAAATTATTTAAGTTTTCTTATATTAATATTTACTTTTCAGAAGTTTTGTTTATAATACAAAATATTTTTATAATTGAATTACAAAATATTTTTGTATGATGAATTTATTTCATGACCCAACATAAATGTGTAACAGATCATTAAATATATATACTTTTTGACTTGATAATAACTTGTTGGCATAATGTATTGAATATATTCTATATTTTCAATACATTTTGCTATATTTCTTTTGTTTATATTTTTGAAGTTTGAAGCAATGTTAATATTTTATTATTTTAGTATTACAAACAAGTTTTGTAGTCTCTTGAAGTTTCTTGTAGTAGGCTTTTATCTGTATTATTATTTTACTAGCAGATGAGCCCGGCATTGCTTGGGTTAATGATAGTGAAAATTAAGATTATTAGATTATAGCTGATCTTACCCATTTTTACCAGATGCAAGAATTAGGTTCACCCTCTTCTGAGACTAATTAGAGAATTTTTAGATGGGTTTAAAAATATGTTCAATTTTCTGCAAAAAACCACACTTAAAATAGTACAGTAAAATCCAAATTTGGGGTAATCCTTAACTCTCTCCCTCTCCTCTGTAGGGGAAATTTCAGAAAGGCTTTTCTTTGTGTACATTCTCATCACATACCCTAACTGTGTACTAAATTTCAATTTTCAACTCTTAACTGTTTGGCCTCTGCACTTAATAATAATAATATTATTGTTATTATTATCTCATCAACCCATCTTGATCTAAATATATAAAATTGCTTGTCCTGACTGACTCATTCATTCATTCACTGATTCATCATCGCCCAGAGCAAACCGCTTAACCTAAAGAGGTGAAATTTGGTACACAGTTAGGGTACGTCATGGAAACGCACACTAAGAAAGGATTTTTCGAAATTCCAACGCGGGGGG